TGCCTGCCCACACAAAGCCTTGGACTGACCCAGACTCCTTCTGGGGAATGTGTTGCACCACAGCCCTGCCCTGGGAGCAAAGTTCCTTTCTCTTTGTTCCCAGTCTGGGCCTCACCAGCTGCCCTTGGCATTGATGTTTTCCTTTTTCAGGCTGTTCTCTACCATGTCAAAAGGCTCCACCATCTCTGAAACCACCCTTCAATAGCTCCCAAGGGTCTCCTCTGCTGTCCTCAGTCTCCACGCCACTGAGCACAGAGCTCCTCTGTCCCTGTATAGTGCTCATGTGCTTGAGGCCATGGGCACCTGGACAAGAAGGACAGCTCTTTTCTACAGGAAGGAACCCACAGAGCTCCAGGGTTTTGAAGGCAGATCAGAGGCACTTACCAGAGGACCAGAGACCAAGGACATCCAGACCTGTTTCCCTTGGGAACATTTGTCTGGGAGCAATCCTTGGGTACACAGAGTTTGGGAGGCCAAATCCCAGTTTTGTCCATGGGCATCTGGACAAAAGGAGGACAGTTATTTTCCATAGGAAGGAAAGTACAGAGCCCCAGTGTTTCACAGGCAGATGAGAGGTGGCCCTCCGGGAGCCAAGGGAACCTAGACAGTCCTGGCAGCTTTTTTCTGGGAGCTGTCCTTGGATATAAAGAATTTTGGAGGCAGATTCCCAATTTTGGCTATGGAGACTGGACTTGAAAGATGTTTTTTGCATGGAAAGAAGAGCTTGGCCACTCAACGTTTTGAAGGCAGATGAGAGGTGGCCCCCAAGATGCCAAGGCCATCCAGAGCTGTCTGTTCTGGCAGGTTTCATGTGGGACAATCTTTGGATATAATCAAATATGGAGGTAGAATCCCAATTTCAGTCATGAACCCCTGGAGAAGGAGAGTTCTTTCTCACAGGAAGGAAAGCACAGAACAGCAGGGCTTCAGGGGCAGCAAAGAAGTAACCATCAACATGCCAAGGTCAGCTGAAATAGTCAAGCCAAGCCAACCAGGACTTTTCCATGTCCTTGGATCCCTGGGGCCCTGCAGCATCACAATTGCCCCTTGGTTCCATGAGCCCCTGCAGTATCACAAGAGATCATAGTTTCCAGAAGGTCCAGCAGTACCACAATGGTTACCTTGGCTTGGAGGTGGCACAATGGTCCCTTGCTTCTGCTGCGCTCCCCAGGATCACAATGGACCTCTGGTTCCACAGGGCATGGCTGTGTAACACTGGCCCCTTGCTTCCATGAGGACCCATAGTGGCACAATGGCCCCTTGGTGCCATGGGTACTAAGAGTGCCAGAATGGTCTCATTTCTTCCATGAGGCCCTGCAGTGTCACAAAGAGCTCCTTGATTCCACAAGGCCCTGCAGAGCCCCTTGACTCAACGAGACCTCAAAGTGCCATAATGGNTGGGCTCTGCCAGGGCTCTGCTGGAGCTCAGCACTGGGCCACAATCAGCCAAAGAAGAAATAGTGCGACCTGCAGCACAGACTTGCTTGAGCATTTTGGCAGGACAGGTCAAGTTTGCAGAGTGTACACCTCCAAGGGAAAACATGACACCTCTCAAAAAATAAACTTGTTCAATAATTTCTGAAATGCAATCAATCTGGGATGACCCCAAATGACATTTTTCAGCTTGCTCAAGCTGTAGCTCAGCCCTTCTCTGAACAGTTCTCTCCCCCACCTGCCTTTTACTTCCCAACTGCTCCCTCTTTTCCCTCAGTGAGTTCCCAGCCCATTGCAGTCTCCATCACACTGTTGCCTTCCTTGGTGCCCCTCACCACGAGGAAGGCAGAGCCCCAGGCTTAGGGACTCATCCTGTCACTGGCTGAGGAGCAGCAATGTCTCAGAGGTCCAGTGGGATTTTAGTGTCATTCAGAGCTGCTCTCCAGCCCTCAATTCTCCTCACTGCTGAGCTCTCACTCCCTTTTCCTCATCCTTGCAGCAGGATGAGCTCTGTGAATCCCCTTGAGCATCCCCACTCCTACCAGCCCATGCACCCC